AGCGTCTATCTCGTTCTTCACTGTGTCGCTCCTTCGCGTTGCTCCGATCCATCGTGTCGCGTTGCGTCGCGATGATGTATAGTGATGCACTCTGTGAATCGATTGCGAGGACGACATTCGATTTTCATACGAAATTTCCTAGTGATCGACGCGTACATTTTCAACTCCCACGCGTCGTTGTCCTCTTACGCGCACCAGCGCGCGAATGTATGAAACGTATGTGTGTGCTATGGTGTGCTGTGTAGTGAGCGCGCGCGCGGGCGCGCGCGCGTGTGTGTGTGTGTGTGTCAATGCAATATGCAAGTAGATACATGCGTGCGCGTGTGTGCCACATGATTGTACGTGCGTATATGTATATGCGGCGTGCGCGCGCGTGTGCCACATAATTGTACGCGAGAGAAAAAGATTGTGCGACCGTGCGTATTAAAAGTTTCATTGAGTCTGTATCTTTGATCAAGTGTTAAATCTCATCTTGTAAAATGTCGTGTTCTAAACATATACGAAAAAAGCACCATGTGCTTTCTTTAAAAGTAATTTTAATAGTCGCGTCGAGCCTACGGGAGAAGCGTGTGATATCTAATGTATATGTATATCTTTTTCAAGCTCACGTTAATCTCATTTTCTACAGATATCCGAAATTACCAAATAATTCTTCCAATTATATTTGACAAATTTTTTTGTCTTTAAAATATTTGTAAACTTTCCGTTTCATTATACCTTGAAAAAAATGAAATTGATATCGATTTCGACGTGAAAGAACGTGGCACATTCGAAATTTTTAGGATAACAAGAATCTCAAGATTTTAAGCGATAAAGTGTTTCGAGATAACTTGAAAAATTATCGATGAATAATTCCAAAAGTATGTGAGTAACGATTAAAAGTGTGTGCGTCGTGTCGCGTAATGATAATTATTAATAATTGCTCAATAATTACATTTAAGTTACTTTATGTAAATCTGCACTAGACAAGACAATCATTCTTTTAATTGCATTTACGACAATTACGACATGACAATGTATAAACAAAATATAAACATATTTTATAATTGTCACTTTTCTTTTCTGTGTTTTAAACATTGCGCGAACTGATTTTATCAATTCTTGTATTGATTGCAGAACTATAATAGTATTCTTTTTGAGAAAAAATGACAGATTATAGTAAATATTAATGTACAAAATTCTTTTTTCTTTTTATTATTCTAAAATTAAAACAACGGTTAAAACATAATTATAACATAATTGCCTTAGAATTTATCAAGAAACATGAATGCGTTTACATACTACCAATGTTACTTTTCATAGGAGAAGCAAAAAATCTTCAAAGTCGAGGTCATGGATCTCCAGGTACAAGAGATGTTTATTGTACCTTGTCACTGGATCAAGAAGAAATATTTAGAACGACAACTATGGAGAGAACTCTCAAGTAAGACTGTTGAGATTGCAAAATTTATTTTTTAGCTTCTGATAATTTATAAATTTGAGCTATTTATGATTCAAGCATTCTATTCTATTTCTATTTTTATTTCCCCTGTATAGTCCGTTTTTCGGAGAGGAGTTCCAATTTGAAGTACCCAGAAAATTTCGTTATCTTGGCATTTACGTGTACGATAGAGATAGACACCTGAAGCAGGATAAAATTTTGGGGAAGGTAGCAATAAAGAAAGAAGATTTAGCTACATATCATAACAAAGAGCATTGGTTTCCTCTGAAACCAGTCGACGCTGATTCTGAAGTCCAAGGCAAGGCTCATTTAGAACTTGCTTTGCAGCCTCAAGTCGAACATGCTCAGCCTAAACTTACAGTAAGGTGAGCAATGATAAAATAGTGGTATATTATAGTATGACTTTTGATGACTACCTTGTATGTAATATTGGAATGTAAAATTCCTCCAGTAATATTTGTCTTTATGCATTGCAGAATAATAGAATGTAGTGAATTAACCATTAAAAATGGTAGCTGTGATCCCTTTGCAATTGTTACAGTCATTTATAGTAATGGCAAACAGTTATCAAAACGCACAAAAGTTAAAAAGAAAACAGCCTCTCCATATTTCAATGAAACATTTGTATTTGAAGTAAGCAGTATTCTCTCAGCCTATTTATTTGTGTGTGTGTGTGTACGCGCGCGCGCAAAATATATAAAATTGGTTTCTTTTATATCGCAGCCAGAGTTAACAGAGACCAGAGACAAAGATGTCTCCCATTATTCCATTGAAGGAGCTGAAGTTGGAGAAGTAGTGGTTGGTTTGTGGCATGCGTCTCCCGGTATGGGAGAACAATCGGTGTTTCTTGGCGAAGTTCGAGTTACGTTAAAAGGATTACAAAAACAACCGACTAGTACAACAACTGCATGGTATACCGCTTGTATCATTTTGTAAAAGTTATAGATTTGTGCATACCATATGAGTAAAATTACATTATTACATTATTACATAATTATTTATTTTGCGCAGGTATTTTTTACAACCTAGAGCAGCAAAACATCGTCCAAGTAAAATTACAAATAATTCCACGCCACCTGGTACATTACCAGGTTTGGGATCGTTACGTTTGAAAATTCATTACATAGCGGATCACGTCTTCCCATCTGAAATGTACGATAGACTTAAAAGTCTATTGTTACAAAGTGTTAACATTCAGCCGATAACATCATCGGCTGTTTACATATTGGGTGAAATTGTAGCTAGTAAGATGGAAGCTGCGCAACCATTAGTTCGAGTATTAGTGCATTATGGACAGTTGGTGTCTGTAATGCGAGCACTTGCTAGTCACGAGATTTCTAAATTGACGTGAGTAATTATGTTTGAATATAAATACTCGTGATGCAAGTACCATCAACTATTAACCATGCGACTATGCATATTATAAAAATTCAATGATTTGATTTAAGTGACCCGACGACGATATTCCGTGGTAATACATTAGTAAGCAAGATGATGGATGAAGGTATGAGATTGGCAGGTCTCCATTATTTGCATAGTACTCTTAGACCTGCGATGGAACAAGTCTTTCTTGAAAAAAAGCCATGCGAAATAGATCCAACTCGGGTGAAGGATGGCAATACAACAGAGACGAATTTGACGAACTTGAAGGTATCGAATCATAAATGCTTGTAACTCGTTTTTTTCAGGGCAAAATGAGAAAATATATTGACAATTATTTTATTTGATAGGAATATGTTGAGAGAGTATTTACGGCTATAACGACATCGGGAGTGAGATGCCCGCCATTAATGTGCGAAATGTTCTGGTGTTTGAGAGAACTCGCTGCGACTCACTTTCCAAAAAACAAGGAAGTGAGATATTCGGTGATAAGTGGATTTATCTTTTTACGATTCTTTGCTCCTGCAATATTGGGTCCAAGATTATTTGATATCACTACTGAACAAATTGTAAATAATTGAGACACAATGTACTATATGGAGAATATATATCTTATATTTCTTCAATATTCTAGCTTTTTCTTTCTGCTAAATTTGCGTATGATGTGTGTTATCACAGGATTCGCAGACCAATAGAACGTTAACATTAATATCCAAGACGATCCAAAGTCTTGGAAATTTAGTGTCTTGCAGAGGAGGTGCAGGCAGTGTATGCAAAGAAGAATATATGGAATGTGTGTATAGGTAAGATTTTTTTTAAATTACTTATCGACGAGAGAAGAATAAATTTTGAGATAGAGTATCAGACATAATATGTGTGTGCGCACGTGCACGAATAATATATCAATATATATATTTTGATTTTGTAGAGAATTTTATACAGAAAGACATATACAAGCGGTCAAGCAATTTCTAGAGTTAGTGTCAACGAGCAGTAATAGTAGCGGTATTACGAAGCAACGTCCAACAGTGTCGCAAGAACAACCAGTGGTACTCAAAGAAGGGTACGTTTATCAATATACATGTATATATATATATTCGTATATATCTATTTTATACATATGACGTGTTCCTTTTCGAAGAATTTTGACACTCTTCAAAACACATACATACGTTTTGAAGAATATAATCGAATGTAGTGGATACTTTCTAATACTTCTTCCTGTCACTTGGAAAATATATTAAGAGACTAGAGAAGTACATTTTTCTAACGAGTTTTATATATATTTCTAATAGAATATACTTTCTCTTTGTGCACACTACCGATTGCAACAAGAGGTTGGTACTAGGCAACACCACATTTATATTTGTCTACAATCCTCCTACAAAACATAGGATGTTTTCCATTCAATGACACAAGCATCGTTTTGTTCTCGTTATTCATCGAATATCAAGAAAGATGGAACGACGTTTATGTCGACTTGTGCCACTAAATAGAAAGCACCCATAGTTATTTTATGAAAATGTAGGAACTAATTCTTTCTCGTTTTTAATAGTGTGATGATTAAACGAGCGCAAGGCAGAAAACGATTTGGTCGCAAGAATTTCAAACAGAGATATTTTCGACTTACCACGCATGATCTGACATATTCTAAAACCAAAGGTAAATAAACTCAGTACGATTTACATCTTTCTCTTCAGACGAGAAGTATATAAGAAAAATACGATATAATTTATGAAATAATTTAATAATAGGTAAAGAACCTTTGTGTAAGATACCATTAGGAGAGATTTTAGCTGTGGAAAGACTTCATGAAGATTCTTTCAAGATGAAAAATATGTTTCAAATTATTCAACCACAAAGAGCATTATATGTTCAAGCTGGCAATTGTGTAGAGGAAAAGGAATGGATTGACATTCTTACAAAAATATGTCAAACGAACAGTAACCGCTTAGAAAAATATCATCCAAGTGCATACATCAATGGTCATTGGCTTTGGTGAGCGATACAATGAATATTACAAATGTATTTTACATGAGTTTGTACGTGTCCAAATATTCAATTAATTATAATTTTTCAATTTCATCATTCAATTTCAATTAATTATAATTTTGTATTTATTGCTTCTACGATATTTAGTTGTCGGGCAATTGCTGAAATTGCACCAGGGTGCAGTGAAGTATCGCCAGGTATAGAGGCTGGATTGCGAATGGTTTTGGATCCAGATCGTGATTTGCAAAGAATACATTCGTTAATCTTTACAAATATGCCACGTCTCGAGACATTGATGAATGCCTGTGAATGTCAGGCGGTATATGGCGCTAGTGACATGTGTGTTATTCCGGATGGTGGCTCGCCTATAGAGGATGTACCTTCGTGTTTCAAGACTTTAAACGCACTCAGAGAAGCTGCATACTCATTGGAGCGTGAACATAGAGCCTATTTTAGAAGACTGGCACGCGACACCAAATATGGCAGCAAGTATGTGATACGATTTTTATCATTTTATGGCTTGGATATATTTTTGATTTTTGTAACTTAAAATATTACTCGTATAAATTTGCGTATTTTGATTCCTGTAGGCAGGCTCCCATCGGTGATGACAACTACCTCCATTTAGCTAGTAGAGCGGGATTCGATAATCAATTAACGAAGCGAATGTACGAGTTGGATGGTCTAAATCAACGATCCGTAGAGGCCGAACATTATGACATGGGGTTCTCTAGAAAAATTGTCGAGAGTCAAAGATACGATGATACATTCAGGAAATGTCTTGATTCTAACTCCATTACTCGTAGGTATGAAAACGAAAACAATTTATTGCGCGGATACGAAAATAATAGTGATACTATCAGAAGTATCCAAAATGATCTCAGAAAATTTGATCATAGTTTAAACAATACATTAAGATCTGATAAATTGGAAAGGAATGCTAATGAAAATTTAGAGAATCATAAAAGGCTAGATAATACCAGTTTATTAACGGCAGATAGTATAAACTTGTCGGGAACATTATCTCGGAAATTGGATAATTATGACAACACTAGAGTATTGGGTGAATGTACATTGACGAGACGACTACAGGACGACATCCCTGATATATCTTCTAATTCAATAAGTGAGCGTGGCAATCATTAATTACCAATGATGTACAAATATATAAGTTGCACGTTCCTATCAGAGTTGAAGAAATGATTACGAGGGACGAGAAAATAAACAGAGATTTACATCGGTCGTTTCTTTAAATAGACAGTACAGTCCTTTCAGCTTCTTTCTTGTATGTGTGTGTGTGTGTGTGTGTGTGTGTGTGTGTGTGTGTGTGTGTGTGTGTGTGTG